GTGGAGGCAGGGCTGGCCCCCACCATTGGGGGAAGTGTGGTTCTGGGCCCCCCGGTAATCGGCACCATTCACTGTGAAGCACTCGGAGGGCTCTGGGGGTGGGGGAAGAGGGGTAAGCAACTCCAGGAGTCCTGGCTCCCTACCCCCCTGCTCTAGCCTACCGGGCCACCCTCCAGAGTTGGGGATAGAACCCAGAAGGCCTAGCTCCCAAGCTCCTCTTGTTCTAGCCCACCAGATCCCCTGCCCCTCCCAGAACCCAGCGCTCTCTTGATGTACAGCGACTGAGCACTGCCGGACACCAGGGTGGCCTCGTGGCGTGTTGCTACTGGGACGTTGGAGCTGCGGGGAAGAGGTTGGAGGAATATGTAGGTGGGGGAGCCACGAGGAAGGGCCAGGCGTGGTCTCCTACCCCACACAACCCAGGAGTCAGTCCGTGGCTGGGCCAACCGGTCGTGACTCCATCCCCACCCCAGGACACATGGCTGGCCTCTCTTGGAACAGGCTGTAAGAGGCCACCTGCAAGCGCCAGGCTGTCCTGTGCCGCAAGAGAAGACCCCAGGAGGAACAGCCCCTAGAATGGGAGGGGAAGAGGACTCATCGGAGAAGACAGCAGGGGCCTGAGACCCGAGGGCATAGCAATGGGCCGGCACACAGGGGAGCAGAGAGGAGACTCGACAGCGGGGAGGGCAGAGCAAGACCCAGTGGCCGGCTGGGAAGGGGATGAAGGCTGCAGCCCAGAGAGGCTCTCTGATCGGCCAGCGGTTTCAAGCCCTCTCTCCTTCAAGCACAGGTGGTGACTGTTGTGCACTGGTCTCTCCACTGTACAGGAGCCCTGCACAGTCTTCTGTTTGGGGGCAAACACCTGCACAGCCCAACAGCCCGGTGGGATCGGCCAGTGGCGGGACAGGGAGCAGGAAGTTCCTAGCACAGACTGACACAAGCAGTGGGGTGTGATTCAGTCGTCTTGCTCGAGGACTGAGGCAGGTCGAGCATTTCCGCAGCTGCACCCATGGCTGGGCTGTCCTCTCTGGGACCCACCCTGCTCACCCCACATGGGCAGGGGGCTAGAAAAAGTGCCCTAAAATAGTCTTGCCTCTTTTCTTCCTGGCTGGACAGCCACATCCAGCAGGATCTCCGCCCCGGCGGTCAGAAAGGCAAGAAACTTTTCAACTTTGGAACTTGGAAGGGACGTATCCAGATGGACAACTCAGACGGTGACCGACCAGAGGGACGTACAGCTATCAGTGCGCGTGAACGGAATCGGTTTGACGGTGAGATGGCTGCCTTGTCCCAGACTGGAAGAGCTGCTGAGGGAGGAGAAAGGAGGAGACGCCGACCCGGCCCTTTAAGAAAGGGGACAAAGCGCACTGTGGAAACTATCCTGGGATCTCTCCTTGCTGCTGCAGGCAACGTTCTTGCAACCCGTCTCCTGCCCCTGTCAGAAGACGTTTTACCCGAGTCAATGTCGCAGAACTGTGGATACCATCTGCACTGCAGGGCAGCTGCAAGAAAAGTGTCGGGAGCAAAACTGAGCACTGCACATGGCTTTTATTGATCTAGCTCAGGGTTTCCCAACCTATGGGTCAGGACCCAAATATGGGTCGCCATTCCATTTCAAAAGGGTCGCCAGGTGTCTCCCCAGGTGGCTCTTAAGGAATCATTCACACATTTTTTGAATTGCCCTGGGTCACTAAGTCTTCCTGAATTGTCAAAATGGGTCCTCATCTGTAAAAGATTGGGAACCTCTGATCTAGCTATAGCCTTTGACTCAGTGAATGCCGGGCCCTTTGGACTTTCAAAGATCAGCTGTCCTGACAAATACATCAGTGTCCTAAAGCTGCTTCATGACAACCTGAAAGCGACTGTTCTGAGCAGCACTGTGACCCTTTCGAAGTGCAAACAGCAGTCAAACAGGGCTGTATCATCACCCCAAGCATGTTCACGGTCTTTCTGGCTGTCATTTTCAACCTCATTGCTGGGAAGCTCCCGGCTGTCCTTGAAATCATCTACAGAATGGATGGAAAGCTGTTTAGGCTCGGCAGGCTGAAAGCTAAGGGTACGTCTACACTGCGGGGCTAACGTCTCATTAAGCTGCGCAACTTCAGCGACGTCAATTGCGTCGCTCAAGAGGAAATAGCGTCACTCGGCTTTTGGCACTGGCTGCACAGCAGGAAGTCGAAGGAAGAGCACGCTGCCTCCAACTTCCCTTGCTCCTTGTGAAATGAGGTTACAAGAGACGGAGTAAGACATGCTCCAGCTCGACAGTATTTTGAAATAGCAGCTTGTAGTGTAGACGTGCTCTCTGTTATTTTGGAGTAATGTCGGTTATTCCAAAATAACTGCTCTGTAGCTGTATCATGGGGTTACGTCTACACGGCAGGCTTCTTGCACAAGTGATCTTCTGCAAAAGGTCTTCCACAAGAGCGCGTCCACACTGCCGTGTGCTTTTGTGCAAGAAAGCTCTGATGGCCATTTTAACCACCGGGCTTTCTTGCGCAAGAAATTCATGTTGCCCGTCTACACTGGCCTCTTGTGGAAGAGCTCTTGTGCAAGAGGGCTCATTCCTCGTGGGGAGAGGAATAACTCGTCCAGAAGAAGCCCTGTTTTCCGACGCTGGACTGTACATGTACTTGCGTAAGAACGCGCGTGCAGTGTGGACGCTCTGCAAGTTTTTGCGCAAGAACAGGTGTAGACGTAGCCTAGGAGTAAGATTTCCACCACATCTGTTGTGGAACTTCAGTATGCTGATGGTAATGCAATTTGTCCACTCTGAGAAAGATCTTCAGGCAATCTTGAACGTGTTTGCTGATGCCTATGCATGGCTTGGTCTCAGCCTCAACACCAAGAAGACCAAAGTGTCCAAAAGAGGCACCATGCGCCCCATATATTACAATCAACGGAGAGGCACTGGAGAAGGTCGTTCATGTTCTCTGCCTTGCAAGTTCTCGCTCCTCCAAGGCAGATGTTGATGTAGAACTCCAACATCATCTGAGCGGTGCCAGTGCGGCCTTTGCTCCTTTATGGCGCAGGGCTTTTGAAGATCGTGATGTTCGAAAAGACACCAAACTTCTTGTCTATCAAGCCGTCATTCTCCCAACACTGTTGTATGGGTCTGAACCCTGGACAACCTACAGACATCACTTGAAAGTCCTTGAGCGTTATCCCCAACGCTGCCTCCGCAAGATCTTGAAGATCAATGGGAAGACAGGAGCACTAACATCAGTGTCCTGGGAGAGGCAAAGACCACCAGTATCGAGAAAACGATCATCCGTCGACTGGTCCCACTGTGCGGGTGCCAGACCGTCGCCTCCCAGAACAGGCCGTGTTCTCAGCTGGAAGGACGCTGTCACGCAGGAGGACAACGCAGCCTTCTAAGGACTTGCTGAAAGGTCACTTACAGAAGCGCAACGTTGACGTTGACCCTTGGGAGACGCTCAAACTGGAGACAAGTCCGACGCGACTTGAACTTGCCCGCCGCTGACATGCTGAGGAGGAGAAGAGGTGCAGGAGGAATAGGAGACTGGCTTCTAGTCATGGCCAGCAGCCTCCTGCTGTACCTGGAAGCATCTGTCCTCGCCTGTGGTTCAAGGATCGGCCTCACCAGCCGCCTGAGGGACCACAACTCCCATGGGAGATGATCATACTCGGCAACACATGATTGCCCATCCTCAGCCATTGGGACAGAGCCTTCAGCGAAGGGGCCGGTTCTCCATTGTCTGGCGGCTTCACATCGAGACGGGATGTCTCCCTGGGAGGTGCATTAGTCAGCACACAAGCTAGTAGGCACCATGCAGGAGTAACTGGGAGAAAATCGCCCACCCGGGTTATCTGGGCGGTGAGATGTCTCAGGTGTTTGAAGATGGGGGGGTGGAGAATGGACAGTGGGGAGGATGGAGGCATGGGGTGGGTAGAGAAGCTGCAGGGATGAAAGGGAGGAGGGGGCTCTCAGATGACAAAGGGAGGAGGGAGACAGGGAAGATGGAGCGGGAAGCGGTTCCTCCCGGGCTGCAGAGTCGAGGGTCAGACTGGCGAGCTGGAGGCACGCTCCTGCCTCCGGAAACCGAGCTGGGGGCTTGGCTCCGGCTCCAGTGCCCTTCAAAGGCGTGAGGAGTCGGGAGCCCTCCCCGGGGCACTTCTGATTACCGTGGGGAGTGAGGCGCTGCCAAGCGGGCGCCTGGCTCAGAGCTCTGGCCCGCCCTGGGATGAATCAGAGGACGCATCTGGCTCCAGGGCCGCAAAGGGGTGGAGGAGATAGGTGTGACGGAGCCGGATTGCAGAGCGCTTTCTCAGGGAGAAGGACCCTGCCTGAGGTGGGAAGCGGCAAGGTAGGCCCGGCTGGGAGAACAGACAGCAGATGCCTGTGCTGATTGTGGATGGGTCTGGACAGAACAGGGAGACTCTGGCTCCCCAGGGCAGTGGGGGCTAGTGGCTAGGGCAGGGCAGGTGGGTGCAGCTTGTTCAGACTCCCGACGGCAGAATCCAGGCCCATTTCATGGTCTGCCACATCTGGAAGAGCTGCAACAGCTGCAGCTGGAGCAGCTGCCAGGCCTCCTCTTCGGAGAGATGCTGGTGTGAGGGGGCGGACAGCCCTGCCACACAGCACGTCAACAGGATGTGGGGGCATGGCAGCCCCCTGAGCACAGGAGGGAGACCCCACTCTCCACCCGAGCTGGGGAGAGAGCCCAGGAGTCCTGGCTCCCCGCCCCTCTAACCACTAGACCCCACTGCCCTCCCCGAGCTGGGAACGTTGTCCTCAGCTCTGGAAGGGGAATAGGCTGTAGTGAGTCTGAGCAGTGGGAATTGGGAGTCTGGGTCCCACAAACAGTTATCCCCCTGCAAAGATGAAGAAGCCCCATTGGGGCTCATCTCTCCTCCCCCCAGCCCTGTAACCAGACCCAGCCCCCCCCACCTCCCCCCTCTAGGGACCAGCCCCACCTGTTGTCATGCATGAAAATAGCCAGCGTTATGATGGACAGGTGGCTGGGGGGTGGCGCCATGGGGGGCTCTGATCCCTCACAGGGGGCTTTGTGGGGCGGCACGGAGCCGGCTGCAGGAGGCGGTAGGTTTCCTGGCGCCTGGCAGCTGGTCCAAGCAGCTGTCCGTGGCCTTAGCTCCCAGCAGGAAGCATGGGGTGCCCATGGGGGGACGATAAGAAATGGGGGTCACCTTGCAGGGAAGGGGAAAAGGAAGGAGGCAGGTCTCTGGGGCTCTCCCCCTGGTTCGGGGAGGGGAGTGGGGTCGAGTGGTTAGAGCAGAGGCGGAGGCTGGGAGGCAGGACTCCCGGGGGGAGAGAGGGAGCTCTCATGGCTCTCGGCCGCCAGCCTTTGTCTGTGCCAAGCAGAGATTTGCCCCGGCCGGGCACAGTTTCCGGACATTGGCTCTGGGTTATACAATGTGACACCTCCTAGCTCGTCGGCTGCCCTTTGCCGGGCCGGGGGGTCTGCACTTCCATTGTCCCAGCTGCCCGGAGACATACACCGCTGCGGACTCCCATGCGCAGCCCCCACCCTCGGGATGCTCCATGGCCGGATCTGGAGGGGTAGGCACTGGCAGAGACGCAGAGACACGGCGCTGGAGAGATGGAGGGGCATGTGGGATGGCTGGGTGGAAAGAAGCCAGGAGTCCTGACTCCAAGCCCCTCCTCTACCCACTAGACTCC